TGTTGGCAGTGGCTGGTCTTCAGTTGGCAGGTTCATGGTAACATTCAGGATGTGGTTTCTGGGCACTTTGTAGGTGCTGGGCAGAGACAGAGGTGAAGAGCAGGGCTGGAGCAGCTGGTGGGACTCCCTGAGCTTTATGCCAATTCCCACAGCAATATTCCATTCAAAAACCATCCAGGATATCCAGGCACAGGCTGGAAAGATCTTCAAGGCTGGGTGAAATTTGTCCTCATCACCTTGATTTTTTGCAAAGGTGAGGAAAGCAAATTCCCAGAGCCAAGAGTTTGGTTGCTCTCTCTTTCCTGTCCTGTCTCCACGCCCAGCATGGAATGGAGATGAATTTGTAGGAGATGAAAGACATGTTTCTAACCCAGCAGGCTGCCTGTTGGCAGCCTCCAGGCTCCATGTGTGCTGGGAATCATCACTTTTTCAAACCAGGCCCCTCCTCACCCACCAGGGATGTTTCTGTGTTCCCATGTAGCTTTTGTTCTACTCAAGTATCCGGGTCTGTGTGTTTGGATTGTTTGTATCCAGGTGGATTTCCCAGGTGTTACTATTTGCAGTTGCTGAAATCCCACTTTGACACCAGCACAGGCTGATTCCTAAATACTGAGAGATGGAGGATCTTGACCTGGGAAAGACACAGGATGGTGTCAAGGCAGGGGCAGGATGGGGACAGCCTGGGGGGAGCAGCTCCCCAGGCCTTGGGCTGCATCAGGGGAGTGGGAATTGTCAGAGGGGACAGAGGTTTCTGCTGAATTTACAGACGCACTTAGGTGTGCTGGAGACATCCCTGATTCCCAAAGCTGATGGGGAAAAAAATAATCCAAAATGACTTGTTTCCTTCCCAGAAGAAGGCTGGAGCTCCCAGTGCTGTGTGTGGATGTGACCTGGGCAAGCAGGGACCAGCAGCTCTGGCACCTGGGCTGGCTCAGCTCTGGGTGCAGCACAAGGAACTGTTGGTAGTTTTCCTTTCTCTAGAAGGAAGCAGCATGTTCTTGGGAGTACAAGCAGTTTGCAATCTTGATGGCTCAAGGACATGCAGGGTTGGGTGATTCCTGGTGTCTGGGGCTGGCTGCCAACCTCCCCATCCCATCCCAGTCTCCCTGTGGCTGCTCAAGGGCTCTGGATCAAACTTTGCTCCATTTGTTCTTGGTGGCTGCATCTTTCTGCTCTGCTGTCACTGTGCCAGGACGTGGGTCTGGCCTGGAAGATCAGAAACCCACAGCTGGATGCCAACCAGGCCACGTGGTTCTGTGATGAGGCACAAATAACCTGCTTGGCACCTTAGGACCTGTTGTACATTTGGGGGTTGTGCCCTTCCCATCTCCCTGACCCTCCTCCCTTATACTGGAGACCCATGTAAGAAATCCAGCTGGGTGGGAGTTCCCATGGACTCTTATTTTCTGTCTCTGCAGGCAGAAAGGCTGAGGGTGCTGGAGGGAGGTGTTATTAACAGTCATGAACAGATCTACCCATCCTACCCATGCTCAGCTGCATGTTTAGGACTGTCACTGGATCCAAGCTGGTATTTGCCTAGTGGTGCTAATCACCCAAAAACATCTTTGCTCCTGGAAAGCCTCAACAGGATGTTCTGCAAGAGATGAGCAGGGTGCAGCTGGAGTCTGCAGCTGTGAGTGCCCGGGCACAGCTCCCTGGTGAGTCTTCACAAAGGAATCCTGCTTTCCTCCCTCTCCTTTACCCTGCTCCTACTCTTTGCCCAAAGGGACTGGAGCAGGGAAATGGTTGCTCCCTTGGAGACCCTGCAGAAGCTTTTCAAAGGAGTTGGAGGGACACAGAGACCTTTGCTCAGTTAGTTTTAATTCAAGCATTAAATGCCTTGATACTGGTCGAGTTGTGTTGCTGATGGGGACATAAGACACATGTCCTGTCCCCTTGGAGTCTCTTTTCTTGGGACAAGGTGTCTGATTAGATAAATGCTTCCAGGACCTCACCCCTCAGCTATAGCCCTGGTCTATGGCTGTTTTAATCTGATAATAACACATAATGGCTTTTTTATATCCCAGCCAAGTGCAGCCAAGCTCGATGCAAGATCAATTCACTTTGGCCAGAGCAAACAAACCACCTGTCCATGTCCACAGCCCGTGGTGAACAACGTGTTCACCTGGGCTGGAGATGCTCCAAAGCATCTGTGGTCTGTGGTGCTGGACACAGGAGGGATCTCCCAGATAGTCTTGCTCAAGCTCCCATCGACTCTGAAGCTCATTGCTTGAAGTCACCAGTCCCCAAGGAGCTTGAGATCCTGGGAAGGTGAGGAGGAGACCTGGTGTGGGGATGGAGGCAGCTTGAGCCATGAAGCTGCCAGTGGGACTTGCAGATCTGATGTTGACACCTCCAAACCATCCCAGCTTTGCCTGACCTTCCCAAACAGAGCTGTCCTCCTGGGACAGAGCCTGGAGAAGAAGGATTAAAATGAGCAAAGCCTGTGGGCTGGGGCTGGCCAGGGAAGCAGGCAGTGCCCGTGCAGAGGTGCTGCCACCTGCCAGGTTGGCTTCAACCACCAGCAGCACCTTGGCCTGCTTTATTTGACCACTCCTTAAATTGTCACAGAGGAAACTGTCCTGGCTTGGATACAGCTTCGTTCCTGGGTGAGATGTTTCTGGTGGCAGCCACAGCTCAAGACTCAGAGGAACACCTGGAACACGGGGCTGATCCTTCCCTGAGCCTGTGCTCTCCGTTCTTCTCCTCTTTTCCCAGCTGTCCCACCCATCTCAGTGCCCACCTTCAGGCACCTTCCTTGCTCACCAGGACCAAACCTGAGGTGAGTTGCAACAGTCCTTCCTTTTTTTGATAGATGTGGGAGGAGGAACCTGACTGGGGCTGTGAGAGGGGTAGGGGGGAGGTGGTCTGTGCTCATCTCTTTCACCTCTGACTGCAGGGTGATCTGCTTCCCTCTCTATTTTCACATCCTCTCTGTCAGTACTATAGGTACAGGGTAAGAGATGGTGGGTGCTGCACCCACCAGCTTCTGCTGGAAATCCTCTCGTGGTGTGGGATCTTGCAGCTGCCTGTGAGAGCAGGCTGGAAGGCAGGATGCTGGTGTATGGGTTTCCTCATCCTCAGGTTAATCACAGAATGGGGGGAGTTGGAAGGGACCTCATCCAGCTCAAACCCCTTGCTCAGGCAGGGTCACTCAGAGCAGATCCCACAGGATCACATCCAGGTGGGCTTGGGATGTCTCCAGAGAAGGAGACTCCACAGCCTCTCTGGGCAGCCTGTCCCAGGGCTTTGCCACCCTTAAAGCTAAGATTTTTTTCCCCTCATATTCATGAGGAGCTTCCTATGTTCCAGCTTATGGCCATTACCCCGTGTCCTGTCTCTTGGTACCACTGAAAAGAGCCTGGTCCCTCCTCCTGCCACTGCCCTTTAGATATTCCTAAGCACTGATGAGATCCCTCCTCAGTCTCCTCCAGGCTGAGCAGCCCCAGCTCTCCCAGCCTTTCCCTGCAGGAGTGATGCTCCTGTCCCCTCAGCATCTTGTAGCCCCCACTGGCCTCTCCCCTGTAGCCCTTCTTGAGCTGGTCAGTGCTGCCCTGCCCCCCAGCCCATCCTGCCAGCCCTGGGCACTGCAGAAGCAACAAGTCCTGGGGTGCTGGGGCACCCTCAGCAGCCCCTGGAGCACCCACAGCAGGTGGGTGGTGCAAACCCGAAAGGCTGTGGCTGTTCCCTGGCAGGGAGGAGCTGCCAGTGGGCTCTGGAATTAGAGGGATCCATAGGTGTTGGCACATTCCTTGATGTCTATGGCAGGAGAGGAGAGGGAAGGGGAAGGGGAAGGGGAAGGGGAAGTGAAGGGGAAGGGAAGGGAAGAGGGAAAGGGAAGGGGAAGGGAAGGGGGAAAGGGAAGGGAAGGGAAGGGGAAAGGAAGGGGAAGGGGAAGGGGAAGGGGAAGGGAAAAACATCTGTTCTGATTCATATTTCTTTTGACTTGAAATTTTCCCCAGAGTAAAAGATTCTGGATTCAGAGCCTGTTGCTTGTGATAGAAATACTTGTAAAAGAATCCTACTGTTTAAATCTTGCCATTTCTACAAATGTTTTATTTATAACCTGAGGTTCTCTCCTCATTCTAAGATAGAAGAATGGTATGTAAAGCTTTCTCAAATGCAGGCAACAAGAATTAGGTCAAAACATTGCTGCAGCATAACACACAGTAGGAACTACGAAGTAGTAGCATATATGGATAAAAATATTTTGTTAAAATATCAAGTATCTGCTGTAGTTTAATTTATTACTACTGTTGGTTGTTGTTTTATAACATACCCAAGTGGATTCCAAAATTCCAAAAATGGAATCAGAACTCGTCAAGACAGAAGCTAAAAAGATGTGTAGAAATGTTTACCAAAACCTCCAGAGGGTAATTCATCTCATGTACTATAAACACTTAAGTGTTACAAAACTAATTTTTGTTGCACTCTGGAGATGCCTGATCTTCTCTGTCAACTTTGCAGAGAACCCCTTTGACTAGGTTGCCAATGCTTTTGTAGTTAAAATTAGGTGAGATGAGTCCCACTTGAAATAAATGCAGATAAATGGGCTGTATTTAAATAAAAATATCATGTGCCTAATTAAGCTGTAAAGGCTTCTATGGAGTTTACTATCAAAACAGCAGTGAATAATTCAAATAATCTACTCTCCCAATGGAGGAAGAAGTGCTACAAGGGGAAATCTTATGGTAGATGACTATTATGGGCTCTCTGAATAGAGGCCCAATGTTACATATGTTCTCTCAGTGTTACATAGAAGATACAAAATGCTGTAGTAATATAAGTATTTGGGTTGCTGAACAAAGATTTCAGTCAAGCTGTATTTTCAGGCTGGAGCAAGGTAGTCACAAAGGCTAGATGAGGTAGGTGGAGGCAGGTGCTGTGCAGGCCTTCGTGCTGCCCCCTGCGCGGGTGCCCGGAGCCTGCTGGGCTCAGCACCCCTCCTCCAGCCCTCCTTGGTCCTCTCTGTGGTGTTTGCAGATCCGTCCGTGGTGCTCATGGCAGGGAAGAAGATCCCCTGCAACAGGCTCCTCAACTTCCTGCTCTTCGGCTTCACCTTCAGCTGCTGCCTCTTGGTTTCTTTTCATCAGTTCAGAGCTTCTCAGCCAGGGCACTACAACTCCAGTCCCTCTGCCCAGGCTGGGAACACCAGCACCCCACTGAAAGGGAAGAGCAGGCTGACCATCCTGCTCTGGAAGATGCCCTTTGGGCAGCAAATCAGCTTCAAAAACTGCTCAACTCTGTACAGCACCCCCGAGTGCCACTTCATCTCCAACCACAGCTGGTCCCAAGAGGCTGATGCTGTGATCGTGCACCACAGGGATGTGTATGGAGACCTGGAGGGGCTGGCCCAGCTCCCCAGACTCCCTTCTCAGCTCTGGATCTGGTTTAACCTGGAGTCTCCAAGTCACTCTCCAAACTTAGGTGCCATGGACAACCTCTTCAACCTGACCATGTCTTACCGGAGGGACTCGGATATCTTCACCCCCTATGGGGAGCTACAGCTCCTTGGCCAGCCCCAACCACTCAGCATCCCACCCAAAACCAGGCTGGTGGCCTGGGTGGTCAGCAACTGGAGAGCAGACTCCTACCGGGTGAGGTACTACGAGCAGCTGAAGCAGCACATCTCCGTGGATGTCTACGGGCAGTACCACTTGCCTCTGCCCTGGCACGAGCTCCTCCCCACCGTGTCCCAGTACAGCTTCTACCTGGCCTTTGAGAACTCCCAGCACGAAGACTACATCACTGAGAAGCTCTGGAGGAATGCCCTGTCCTCTGGCACCATCCCCGTGGTGCTGGGGCCTCCCCGGGAAAACTACGAGCGCTTCTTGCCCCCCGAGTCCTTCATCCACGTGGATGATTTTGCCAGTGCTGGGGAACTTGCCCAGTACCTGCTGGAGCTGAGTGAGGACCCTGAGAGGTACCAGAGCTACTTCCAGTGGCGCAAGTGGTTGAAACCCGTGGTGGGGACTGGTTGGGGCCTGCACTTGTGCAGAGCTTGTCACTTCTTGCAGACAACAGAGGCCAGGTACCGGGTGGTGCCCGATCTGTCTGAGTGGTTCGTGTAACTGCTGTTTGCTCAGCTCTCTGCTGCCCTGCAATCTTTTTGTCCTTGCTGACAGGTGGCAATTTCATGGGACGTCTGAACTCGATGGAAACTGAGGGACAAGAGGAGCCTTGAGGTGAACAAGGACAAGGAAGCAATTAGGTGTTTGTGTGTCTTTGTCTTATTGGAGAACAGGCTGTCAAATAGAGTAGTACATGGTTTTGTTTTGTTTTCTGATTTATTAGTTACCTGAATAGCTTGCCATGCTGGCTGCAGCTTAGTCTTTGGAGAAGTTCACCTCTGGTCTCTGCAAAGAGTTCTGGCTCAGCGTGGAAAGCCTAAGGAAGTAGCTGAGAGGAGAAGGTGAAACAGCAACACCTTCACCAACCTGTTGCAGGGGCTTTGTCCTGTGCAAAGGTGCAGCTTGAAGGCACAGCCACACCATGAGGCTGCCTGCTGCTGCTGGAGGAAACTGGCCATGCTCCTCCCTGCCAGCCCCACAGCCCCTGTCCTGCCCCTGCTCTGCCTCAGGCTCTCCCTGACCACCACCAGGATGCTAGATGGGCAGAAAAATACTCAGTTAATTTTACAAGGCTGTATTTTGGGCAGGGTAGCAGGACAGGGGTGGGTGGGTTTGAGACTGGTGCAGGTGAGGTGTAGGGTGCTGAGGAGGCCCCCAAAGGCACCAGAAGGTTTAGTGCCTGGAGCACCCTGCTGGCAAGGAGATGAGCAGGACCAGCAGGTGCTGAGCTGCCTCCTCCTGTCTGCAGCCACCAGCCCAGCTCTGGCACCAGCTGGTGGCTCTAGGCCACATGGTTAAGAAACAGCAAATAATTGGCCTTTATTGAGCTCCCTGCTGCTGTTCAGGTCGTGTCACTGGAAGTTGTTGCCTTCTCAGGTGGGGAAGCCCCATTGCAGGGGGTTGGTGACCACAGTGGTTCCCTCCCAGGTTCCCTGCTGGTACCTCTGGACATTCTGTTTATCCTCCCAACTTCTCCTGGCCCCTCAGCTGAGGTTTTTCAAAGGTCTGTCCTGACCCTGGGATGTTTCCATGAGGAAAATCAGCTCAGAGTCCAGCAATGCAGACAAGAGCTGCAATTGTTTCCTCCATCAGCTGCACTGGGCAAACATTTCCAAAGGGCCCCTCTGCCTTTCCTCCTGCAGTCCCTCTGCAGCAGGACCATCCCCCAGACCTTTAGCACTGCAGCTCCCTTATTTTGATTCACAACTTTTGCCACCTTCATTTTAGATCTGCTTTGCAGGCTGGTTGAATGCATTGATCAGCACAAGCCTGGGGAGGAAATCTTTCACTCTGAAATCTCAACCTGAGCAAGAAATCCCCAGTTTTTTCCCTTGCCAACCTCTCCAGCCCAACTTCCCTTGTTTCCAAGACCTGGAGTCATTTAACACTTAGTAAAAAGAGATGAGTCCTGTAGGGTTTTGGACTCTTAACTGGGGACATGGCAGCACTGAGGGATCAACTCTCTCCTTTAACCTGGGGTTATTTTGGCAGGTCAGCACCAGCTTTATCCCTCCCCTGGGTCCAAGGGCTGTTTGGGGCTCTGGGGAGAGCAGCAGGGTTCTCCTCACCCTCTGAGGCTGCAGGAGTGAAGGCAAAATAAATATGCAGGAGGGAAGATTGATGAACGTTGACCTCACCCTCCTCCACCAAACTGTGCTGCAGCCTCTGGGAGGGCAACCCAAATCTGAATTTTAGTTGCCTTGAAGCTTTCATAGGCAGACCATGGGGTGCTGGGAACTTGAACCCAGTCTGGCTTGGGCCATGGTCCTTGGGGAAAGGGACGTGGGGTTGGCAGGACAAAAATATCACATGGAACCTTCCCCTCCTGAGCTGGGTGCTGCCCTGGTCTGGGGAAGGGATGTCTGGGGGTGACGTGGAGCTGCACACAGGCTGGTTTTGTTAGGGATGGGAAAGGTGACACCACACTTGGGAAACTCTGCAAAGGGGGACTTGGTTGAGGGAAACATCTGGATGGCTGTGCCAGGGGGGCTGGGAGGCTGCTCCAAGAAGTCACTGTCAGGCTTTTCCCAACACACCCGTGCTGGGAGCTGCAGGCACCTTCACACCCTGCGGGGAGATCCCAGCATGAGGGGCTGCTTCAGTCCCTCACACATAAGGTGTGAAAACAGCCCATTCACCCTCAAACCTCCGAGTTTTGTACCCAAAGGTGGCAGGAGATGGCTTGGAAAGTTCCCAGCTGACACTTCTGGGCAGAGGTGATGCCAGAAGCAGAGAAGGGATGAGCTTTATTTGGGTGTTTCCTTGAGAGGAGGGCAAGAGGCTGCTCCTCTTTGG